AACGGACAGTCATTTAAATGCATGCATGTACGCTGTGATAAAAAGGGGTGTCGCAGTTGCAAAGTAATCATCATAAATCTATTTCAAATTTATTATTTCCTGTTATTTTTATAAGTTAACGCAGAGACATGTATACACTAGATCTCTATTTAACGACAAGCAACTATATAAATATCTGAATCTGATGTGACTTACCGTTCATCTCTTTCTTTTTTCTCATTTTATTTTTATTTTTGCAGGAATATACACATTGTAAGATATACTGTTCCTCGATTTGGGGGGGGGGGGGGGGGGGGGGGGTCTGAGGTCATGTCTATCTATCATTGATTAACCTTGACATTTCCGGGTATAACAGAGCTACTTGTATATTACCTGAATGTGGTTAGGTGACGTCCCATGAGGTCTTACGTATACATGTTCATATTTATAATGGTTTCTGATATAACAATTAGGTTTTATAACATTCACACTTCTGCATGTTCTGTATACCAAATTCGTATCTTTTTTTCAGACCGAATGAGGATGTGAATATTTTCCAGGATCAAATTCATTTCGGGATTTTTTTTATTTCTTTGTATTAAATCTCAGAAATTTACAGAATATACTGCTTGTCCGCTTTAGGAGTTTTCTTGTCAGTTTAAACAGACGTATATATGTCTCTGGTTAAGAGTGGGTTTATGAATGAATGATAAGTCTTACAAAGGTACAAGATATCAAGCACATTGAAAATTGATTTCGACGTTCTGTCTCCATTTAAAAAAGGAAAGTTGACGTTAGATTGATTCTGTTATTTTTTTTAAACATCGTTGGTCAAATAGCTGAAGAATTATATAAATACGTTGTGAGATTTATAATATTTTAATAAGGACATTCCTGATTAGGTAAATGAAGATCGCTTTGGACGACAAAACTATATTTTTGTAACTGATAATTTTCTCTGCACATTTAAATATTCAAAGTTACCGATGATAATTTAAAATAGTACTGTTTTGATATATACGCTCGTTTTCGTGTGCCATTTATAATATTTATATAATTATTTTATTAAAAGTGATTCCGAATTTCGATGTTACAACAAAATACTCACCTATTTATTTAAAAACTGAGCAAATGCAAAATGTTAAAAAAAATATATATAACGGCGATTAAGGTATTTTGCCACCATATTCCTCCCTTAATAATTAAAAAAAATCTGTCTCATACCTGCAACGGCGAACCCTTGAGGACAAACACCACTCTAGTGAAGATCAAAGGATTAAAATTACATAATGCTAATCTTTTAATTACCGTGAATTTAACCACGCCTTTACCAGGTGGTGTCAGCATAATACACATGCATTGTATTTACACAGTACTAGACTGATGCAAGGATTTGTATAGTAAGACAAATCCTCGACTGAAGTAATAGGGGAGAATACAAACGTGAATTTCTATTATACTATCAGTTATATATGTTGTTCAAAATATCCGTCGAAAAAAAATCATAAAAAAATTCTATTGTATGATTTGCTTTTATTACTATAATCATATCAGAAACCCTAAAAATATAAATCGTAAATTTTAATTTAAAAAAATGCACGGCTAATCACTTTTCTTTCTGAATTGTTAGTTGGTTAATAGCTACACCAAAAGTCGTTGATGCGCTTTAAATCGCGTTATTAGATGATTAACGAACAAGACTTTAAATGAGATTAATCCACTCCCGGCATGCAAAAAGACTTAAACTACGTCACATAAGTCAGGAAGTTTGAATAAATAGAATTAATAATTCCCAATTTTCTTCTTTATTAGTTTTCATATCCAGATAAAACTTGGTGAATATGTTTTTAATGGTATTATGAACATAATAAGATGATAAGTAAAAAATCGCGAATTTTCCCTTTAAGGTGGTAGGTAAATGATATTTGGTATGCAGATGTCTTAGCATTGGCACATCTCATTTCAATGATTTGTGATTAGGTCAGTTTAAGGGGGACCAATTAGTGGTAGGTAAATGATATTTGGTATGCAGATGTCTTAGCATTGGCACATTTCATGATTTGTGATTAGGTCAGTTTAAGGGGAACCATTAGTGGTAGGTAAATGATATTTGGTATGCAGATGTCTTAGCATTGGCACATCTCATTTCCATGACTTGCGATTAGGTCAGTTTAAGCAGGAACATATATATTGACATACTGTTCCCAGGTTTAAGGGGAACCATAAGTGGTAGGTAAATGATATTTGGTATGCAGATGTATTGGCATTGGCACATCTCATTTCCATGAAGATTGTTTTGCTCCCCTCTCAGTCATGGTTCATTGACTTTGAATATTTTGCATTATTTGCATGTTAAAGTTTGTGATTACAACTACTACTAGGGGGTGTTTTAAAAACATTGACTACCCACAAGGGTCTTGTGTGTCTGTTTGTGATTATTAGATCAGTTTAAGATGAAAGACTAATGTAAAGTCAATGATATTTGGTATGCAGTTGTATTGGCATTTGCAAGTCTCATTTCCATGGAGAGTATATGGCCCCAACCCCTCATCATGGTTCATTGACTTTGAAACTTTTACATAGTTTACAAGTTAAAGTTTGTGTTAGGTTACTTTTAAGGGAACCACTTATGATAAGTCAATAGTAATTGGTATGCAGTTTTATAAGCATTGGCATTTCTTATATCCATGCAGTTTATTTTGCCCTGCTCCTTCAGTCATGATTCATTGATTTTGAATGATTTGCATAGTTTACATGTTTAAATATTGCCATTTTAATATCAACATGCAAAACTTATATCTGTGTCAACATTTTTTTTTTTTTTTGTATTTCTGACATGGAAAGTCCTTTCAGAAGTTTCAGATAGATCATCATAGGTTTCTGTGTCAATCAGGTTTTATTAGGTATTTCTAGATCAAATCTTTGAAAAGCAAATGAACATGTAACCTCCTTGATAAAGCAGCATACACACTGCTCTGTGATATTTGAATGTTGCAGGAGTGAGAAGAGGAATGCATATACGTCTATTGTTGAAGACTGAGTGTTGCCCTTTAGATGTCTATTGGTTACTTTTCGTGTTGGGTAGGTTTATCATTGATGCATACCTCACAATTTCATTTATTCAAAAACACAAGCAACAAAATCTTGGAAACCCTTGGATAAGATTTCTGAAGTCTACGACTCAGGCTATCCTCATCAGAGTGCATTGAATTTTGCCCTTTGTTATCTCTTATTTCCCAGTTTTGCCCTCTCCTCTGTGACATATTCTTAATGTCAAATACTCAAGTTTTCATTGTTATGCTTCTGTATACATCCTTCTTGACGTTAAACCAGTCTCAAGCTTTTGATTACCTGTCATAGCATTTGACCTCTTGACTATTGGTCATAGCATTTGACCTCTAGGCTACCTGTCACAGCATTTTCCTCTTGACTACCTGTCACAGCTTTTGAACAGTCTTGACTATGGGTCATAGCATTTGACCTCTTGACTACCTGTCGCATAGCTTTTGATCACCTGTTTTTTAGCTTTTGATAACCTATCCCACAGGTTTTGACTTCTGTAGATGATTTGGTGTACAATATTACTTTTTTTATTTCCCTTTAAATTTGTTCAAGGGTGATGTAAATAGTTTCAAAATAAGTTTTACTATAAATCCTTAGAAATAGGTCTTTCAGTTGATGTTTTAGTTTCTGGATTTGTTTAACCTACAGTCTGTTTCACTAAAACATACACTGAACATAGTACCTAGGGATTTATAGGCACTTTGAAAATGGAGTCACCATATATAGATTCAATTTTAGAACTTCTCCTTCATTTTAAATGTACAAATAAGTCCTTAATACCCACCCATAATTGAGATTAAAAAGTGACTTCCATGTGTCCCATATATGTTATGATGGAACAGGCCTTACCATGTGTAATATGTAATACCATGAATCAAATTACTCTGAATTGTAAAAATGAAAAAAAATTAAAATATATATATTTGCAATACAATAAAAGTAATGATTTAAATCTCAATTGAGAAATATTAACTTTTAAAAAATTTTGAAATTAAAGAACCTTAGTGAGCGCTCTCACATACTAGTACCCCACGTCCCCACATTGTTATTGGAGAAATAAAATAAGTGTAAGAAAAAAAAATTGTATCAGAAAAAAAAATTGAATCATAATTTCCTGTCAATATGCACATCTACATAGTATGTCCTTATTATCTGAAAAGGTTTCATGAAATTCTGTTGTGTGGTTTGAGAGGAGTTGCGATGACAAAAGGTTGCAGTAGTATATTGGGCAAATAAGTTCAAAGGGGCATAACTCCTGGAAAAAAAATTGAATCCTAATTTCCTGTCGATATGCACATCTATGTAGTATGTCCTTATTATCTGAAAAGGTTTCATGAAATTCTGTTGTGTGGTTTGAAAGGAGTTGCGATGACAAAAGGTTGCAGTAGTATATTGGGCAAATAAGTTCAAAGGAAATTGAATCGTAATTTCCTGTCGATATGCACATCTACGTAGTCTGTCCTTATTATCTGAAAAGGTTTCATGAAATTCTGTTGTGTGGTTTGAAAGGAGTTGCGATGACAAAAGGTTGCAGTAGTATATTGGGCAAATAAGTTCAAAGGGGCGTAACTCCTGGAAAAAAAATTGAATCCTAATTTCCTGTCGATATGCACATCTATTCTTGCTTTCCTCTGAATTTCCTATTGTGACGGCATGAAAAAAGGCGACCATGCCTGATGACGTCACATAGAAAGAACACATCTTTTTGCAGATCATTCGAAAAGAAGGAATAAATTTGCCTGCGTATTGTTTGAAAATCATTAGAGAAACAGATTCCACCACCAAATCTCGTGTAATACGATATTTATCCACTTTCGACAGTTAAATTTTAATTATTTAAAACGCTCGGCAAGCCTCGCATTTTAAATTTGAAAATTTAACTGTCTCGAGTGGATAAATATCGTATCACACTCGATGCAGTGGTAGAATCTATATAAATATATTTACAAAACAAGTGATTATGTGATTTATACACTTTAATATTCAGTATGAGTACAACAGTTAAGTATTTCTTCTGAAACTGTTTTTGACAATGTAAACTTATTTGCTGGTCCATCATGTACTTCTAACCATTAAAATCCTGTCTTTCAATAATACATTTCATTGACAGATGAACCTGTTGTTTTGAGATTCTTGATCAGCATTAAAGCTATAGCTGATTATATCCAGCCAAGAAACTGTGTCAATTTCATTTCTTTTTGTATCCACCTAACAGTTATGTTAATTTCATGCTTGTTATAAATCTGAGGGTTAAGTTCCAGTAGCTTGTAGTCTTCTGTGATCTATCTTCTCAAGCTGCACAAGACTGGTAGACATTAAGAAAAATAATATTTACTAATTGTGGTTTTTGCACAAAAAAGGAGGTAAAATATTCTCTATTGCATTTAGCTATTATTTGGCAATGTACCATACATAGGTAGGGATCACCATATGCCTTCCACCCACCTTTTAATTTTTTAGAACCACACTTGGATTTCCAGCACCACTCTCGATTTTGTCAGCCTTAACTTTAAATCTTGATATTATGTGAGATACATTTGGAAATTATTTCTTAAATCTGCCTAATTTCATTGACTTTGAAAGACTATAATTAAGTTTTGATTTTTATGTTGTAATAAGATTCATAAATTTGTGTACACACGTTTATGTATTTAAGAGTACAGTATTGAAAATGGCATATGATCTATAAATATTTCTCAATCAATAAAATTATATCATAAGCTCCACCCTTGAAACTTTTTGTGTGGTGATCCCTAAAGTCCATTTTATATCTGTGGATATATGCTCTTCTAGACACATTCATATCACAATCACTGTAAGTTTTCAAAGGCTATGTCATTTGTAAACAACTCATACTCATCAATTTTTAAAGGATACGGTTTGAGTTGTTCTGCAAAGTTTTTCATGTCTTCAGCAATAGCATCTTGTCCAGACATAGCAAGTACACTGAGCTCTACCAAGTAAGATGGCACTATAGATTCCAGGTTGTCTGTTGTGTGCCCTTGTTGCATCATCTAGAAAACAAAAAAACAAAACTTTGATTAAATATATTGTTCTGTAATCCATTGTAAACTGTTTTCATTAAGGGGGTACCCAACACTTTTACTGAAATAGATTTGGCTCATTCAATTTCCATTAATATTTACTTTAACCTGTTGACAAAAACATAAAAATTTCAAGAAATTTTAACCACACAATGTACAGGAATAATTTTATTGGATAAATACTATATAAAATAGCAGTTTTACAAACACTAATTTTGATCATTGAGAAGCTTGATTTCTCTTTACTTATACTATGTGATTAAAACATTCAGCTGATTTTCAAAGATTTAACTCTCTTTAGTGTTCTGTACCCCCTTAAGTCTATATAAATATACTAAGTCATTAAAATATCATGTACATTGTACTGCAATCATGGCTTTACAATCTTTCAAACATTTCTGTTTTCAAAATCCTACCTTAAATATTTTCGAGACTGTAACTTTCATTCTGCCTTTATGGAAGTAAAAACCTTTCACAACAAACTCATGGTCCAATCTACAAAATAAAAATGCATTTATTGATTGATTGGTGTTTAACACCACTTTCAACACACTATTGTGCTATTTTGTGGCGGTTAGTTTTTATATTGGTGGAAAAAGCTGGAGTACCTGGAGAGAACCACCGAAATGCATTTATTGACAAAAATAAAAGATATAAAGCAACCTGAAGTTACTGTGAAATGTGATTAGACTGATAAATTATACCATAGTATATGCTGTGTTTTCCCAAGTATTTTCAAACAGCACTATGGAATTGGAAATAGCAGTGTTTCCCCAAAACTATTGCACCACTTTTATTAGTCATCTACATTTTACAATATTTCCAATGTTGTATGTTAAAAGTCTTTATTCATTGATGAGGATCATGGCAACCAAATACTGCTAGTAAACTATGAGAGCATTATATTGGAATTTAATAGTAAAAAGATTATATTTACAGAGTTTATTAACACAGCCTTTCACTCAGACTTAACATAAAATGGACTTGGTTCATTTTGTGAGTGGGTTGGCTGAGTTAAAAGGTAAAATAACAAAAATACCGAACTCCAAGGAAAATCTAAAACGGAAAGTCCCTTATGAAATGGCAAATTTAAAAGCTCAAACACATCAAACGAAGGTATCAATAATAAACTCTGTAAAAAATAACTTTTTTTACTATAATAAAATCTATTGAAGGGCTTAAACGACCCAGTGAAAAGTACACCAGTTAGAATTATTACAAACCTGAAACCAACTTCATGAAGAAACTGTAAAACATTATCTGAGGTAGCTACATCAACACAGTTCCTGATTAGTGTGTGTCGACTTTTGTCACCCATCTCAGAATGACCAAGGTATCGGAGTTGCCTGAAAATACACAATTACACATTCTACCAAATAAACATTTACGGTACCATCTTTACTGCATCAAATACACATTTCAATAACTTATATCACTTTATTGATGCTTGAGGCTAGAATATTTAAAAATCCCAAACCTAATACAAACATTGAGGGCTTATATAAACGAAAAGTTTATAAAAAGTATAGCCAAATTATACAAGGAATAAGAGTGATAGATGAAAGAAGGAGATATTCTGATACATTCCTTTATTCAAAATTATTTCATATGAGCAAGTTTCAACAAAACAATATCTACAATGTCATGCCAGTACTAAAGTCCTGAGCTAATTAGTTAGTGATATCCTCTGAACTAAGTCTAACAGTTAGACCCAGTGGTACTTCTAACATTTATGGTGCTAGTAAACTCATAAATGTGTACTTCAATTAATGAAAACAACTGCTGGTCCATTGTTCTGTAATATACTGGTATATATGAGGGTCTCTATTCAGGTGTCTTCATTAATTTCTGTATACCGTCTTTAGGTGTGTATAGTATGCACTTTTTTACCCCTAAAAAGTAGTTGGTAGAGGGGGTGTGTATTAAAGACGGTTTTTGAATAATTTTTAAAAAATTTTTTTTTTGTTTTTTTTGTTTTTTTATTTATAGCATTTTTTCTTCATTATTGTATATGTTCATGACGTTTTTTATTTTATTTCTTTATTTGTAATTTTTAAAAAAAGTTTGTTTTCCTTCTTTATTGAATACACAAGTACTGGTGTGACATCCTGCATGAGTGAGCTTAAAATGTAATAAAGGATTAAGTATGGGTGTGTAGCAATTGAGTAATATTTTTTTTATTTTTATTCCATTTTTCTCTATTCTTTCTTTTTTTCTCATTTTTTCTATTCTTTATATTGTAGCATTCCATTATTCTCTATTTTTGCCCATTTTTCTCCATTCTTCATTCTCTTTGTTTTAGTGAAAACACAATATTTTCTGGAATCCGACAAAAATTTATTAAAAAGAAATGTATTTCCAACCTACCATCTTTTAACTACTTGAAAAGGAAACCCTAAAACACAAACATTTTTGGCCTAATTTACCTCTAGCAAAACTATTAGTTTCTCGAAAGTTGGTAGGTTGGAAATACATTTCTTTTTAATAAATTTTTGTCAGATTCCAGAAAATATTGTGTTTTCACGGAGTCTGGTACAATGTACTGGCATAACACATACTGCTACCTAAAACTCTGCCATTTGAAATTTGTCAATGAACAAAGTTATATAATGTTTAACAAGTTTTCTTTCACCTATTTCACTTATCTTTATGAAATAGATTAGTGGTTACAACAATTAATATGTTGATAAAAAGGTTTTGATAAAAAAAAAAACGTACAGGTCAGGGCTAAAAAATAATGTTGATGGGAAACCCGAAACACATACCTTTATATTCATAACCTTTTCTACATCTAAACAGTTACTGGCTATATAAGCCCTATCATCTTTAGCAAGAACAACACAGTTGTAATCACATTTCAATTCGGTTAAAGTTTGATTTTGATTTTTTTGGTGTTTGAACGCCACTTTTAAGCACCCCTTTTGGGCTATTTCGTGGCGGCCAGTTTTTATTGGTGGAGGAAGCTCGAGTGCCCGGAGAAAACCACAGACCTTCGATAGGAAAACTGACAATCCTAGTCAATTAGATTGGAGTCGAGTGCACCCGCACGAGCGGGGTTCGAACTCACAACCTCAGTGTTGACTGGCTAGTGTTTACAGTAGTAACTACTTAGACCACTCAGCCACCGAGGCCCCTGTTAAAGTTTGAAATACTTTAACTATTTTCACTAAAAAAAATCTTAACAGATTTTTTTTTTTTCAGTTTACATTGAGCTAAATATGGTTGTTTTTTAAATATAAGATTTGTTTGGCACAAATAGCAACTGCTCTTTCATATAGATAGATAGATAGATAGATAGTTTTTATAATATTCATGATATTTGTAGTTGTTTACAGTACTTTTTTAATTTACAAAAATTCAATTTCTCTATACTAGACTTACCAGTTTTCTGGTTGCACCAGGGAATGTCTAACACTATACTGCAATGGCTGAGGAATGCTGGCATTCTCTGATATATTGAATAATAAAATAGAAAATATTTAATATGCAAAACGATACCTAATGTTTACAGTTGAGCATTTCCTTATTCCATTAAATGCATTAATATTAGGTTTACAATTATAAGTTAAACACAGAGATTGTCGTATTTTAAAATATTTGGTGACAGTTATTTTTAAGTATAAAAAAGATGAAGTATAAACAATGATAAAGATGTTTTTTCTTATCAAAAACATGTACATTGTACAAGTGTATAAAAAAGATATCTATGACATTGAATTATTTTCTCATGAAACATTCATAGAAAAAGTTGTTGTATTCTGATAAAAGTGACCAAAAAGGCTAAAATTAAGCTTACTATTGGTGCAATTTGGGGAAACAAATGATCGTTTTCCAATGATTTTATCATGTATAGAAAACATAAAACAGTTGATTTTTTTCAAAATTGCACCGATTGTAAGTTTGATTTTACTTCTTTCAGTAGCTCTTACTTGACAGAGTACCATAATGTCATAACACAGAGTGCATGAAGGTTAGCTGTTGAAAATTTATTTACTCCTGAGTCAAAAGTCAGTAATATGAAAATAGTCTAGTACTCACTGATGGCATACACCATTTCATGATCTACAAATTTTTCTTCAGGTGAATCAGCATGATCGCAAAGACCTTTCAATCTACACAGTAGGACTTCTAATGAACTGTCTAAAATGCTTCCCTGTAGAAGGTATTCATTGGTTGGTGCTGCTTTTAATGCTTGTGTTAATTGTGGATCCATCATATTTATTAACAATTATTCATTTCTGAAAAAAAATAAATCTTTACATGTTTACAATTCAATTAGAAAAAATATTTTTGAAAATGTGTACTTTCATTTTCAACTTACATGAGCAACATGGTGGGTGCCACATGTGGAGCAGGATATACTTACCCTTCTGGAGCACCTGAGATCCCCCCCAGTTTTTGGTGGGGTTCATGTTGCTCAGTATTTAGTTTCCTCTGTTTTGTTTCGTGAACAGTTATTTGTCTTTTGGTCTTTTTCTTTTTTTGCCATGACATTATCAGTTTATTTTTGACTTATGAAATTATGAGTTTGAACGTTCCTTTGGTATCTTTCACCTCTCTCTAATAAATTCATTCAATTAAATCATGCTTGAAACAGTACATCTACTTAAAATTACATGAATACGAAGATAACTGAGTGTATTGTATTTTAAGCTTGGCCTTCGTAGCGAAGCTAGGTAAACAGATACTTGCGACAGTAAAATCAAGTGATAGGGAAACAATACTGATTTCATGAAAAGCTCATCTGATGAAATAATGAAGATTTTTTAAACAAGACAAAATGCCTATCTTATTCAATTCCATGTACATGAATGAATTAATAGATTTTGAACTGAATAATACTTTAATACAATAATAATGACCCCATGAATATAATGCATTACATCATGACCGATACAAGGAAGTTTCCGTATTTGAGCTAACTTTCAAACAGAAATTATGCCAGAAATTTTTAATTTTGAGGTTTACCAGGTTTTTTGCTATTCTATTGTTTAGGCCTCAATTGAAGACACTTCATTAATTGATAAAGTAATTATATATATATATATATATATAATTATTCAGATTATAACACAGATTTGTATATATAACAATATTAAATTAGCCTTTGTATTTATACAAGTGTGAGTGGGTTGTCCCCTTATGTTGATTATTTAGAAATATGATTGGAAGCAATTAAATTTTACATGTACATGACGTACAACACTAAAATCAAATGCTTATACCGGGTATATCTTCAAACTATGGATTGATTCAAACAAAGCTGGATAATATTAAATAATCAAAGTATCCCAAAATATGCAGAGCTTAATTATATTCCCCTTTAGATATCAAAGTATACATGGTTACAGGTATAGGAGAAAAGGAAGAAATTGAATTTTTTATCCCCAGAACATTACCCTCAATTTTTATTTGCATTTAACATGTTTAATGTATCTATGTACTAGCAATTATACTACATGTATGCAACTTCAATATTTATTATTTTGTGTAAAAAAAAATATTAAGAAATCATATTGCCCAGTATATCCCGTTTCTGGGAGTACTGCCCCAACCCCAGGTAAATACCAATACTGGTACATTTGTATACCAGTATTGTATAGTCTTTTTTACCTTTAATTTATAACTTCTGACTTATTTGATCTTTTCCATACCATACCCTTTACCTGTCTAGTAGTGGTAGGTTCACCCTTTCTAAGGGTCACTTCCAATGGGATTAATTTACGTTAAACACGAAAAACTATATACAGTATATACAGTTGTATATTTAAGTCTTTAAATATGCATATTTAGCTTTCGTGTCGATCCGGCCCCAAGTTGATCCGTCCCAAGTAGTTCTGTCCCAAGGTGTTCCGTCCCAAGTCGATCCGTCCCAAGTAAATTCGGCCCCAACATTTATTTGAATATTTGTTTAAATTTATATTAAGATTTCATATAGAAACATAATATTATTTTTAATATGAAATATTTGATTCAAATCAATTTATCACCTTAATTGAATGGGGATGATTATGCAGTATAAAACAATTATGTTGATTATGTTTATATTTATTACAAGTTTTCAAGACTATTGGGAATGCATAATTATAATAAAAACATATATAACAGAATTTAGTACCATCAACATTAACCAGCAGTAATTAGCATTTTTTTCAATTCACTTAACAAGTCTTTCAACTGGTGTAATAACAAATAGTTACATACACAACTGTACAAGCTGATCCCCAAGCTGATACATACAAACTTTGTTTTTGTTTAAAGTTATAAAAAGATTGTCAAATTTAAAAAATGCATTCCATGGTACAAAAAAAAAAAACACAGAGAAGAATGTGATGAAAGGAAATAATGGTACATTTCTTCTTCATGTTACCAGAATAAAATATAACAATTAATTATCAGAACTTCAAATAAAAGTTCAAACTATAAAGACCTTGATGATTAAGTAAATTTTATCAATCATGATTTTGATTGAATTAAGTGATTACAACTGACGTAACGTCAGTTGTAATCACTTACATGGGTTCATGATCATCAGACAATTGTTGAATTAACAAACCAATTAAAGACTAATGATTTGATTTAAACAAGTCATTATGATGATTACATAATTATATGTTCCATTGGACTGCATGTAAATATCTATTTATCTCTTTTATGTGTGAATTAAATAAAAACTTTTTCCCCCATGATATTCCAAGTTATCATGGAAAATAACTTCATATTCAGTCCATGGAAAGTGTGAATCAAGAAATCTGTTTCTTATGTGGAGTAGCGATATTTTCTTTTGTAAACGAGATGCATTGTGGGGAAATCTCAGTAAAGTATCACTGAAATTTCGTATAGATGATGTACCTATATAATAAACCAATTATACGCATATAAAGAAGTAGACACGATGTATAATATCCCCTGCCCTTCGATCAATTTTGTTCTGGGTATTGTCACTCTAGAATAATAAAGTGTTGACACAGATATATGTATCATGCATCTCTCATGTTTATTTGTAATTTTGACACGATATTCCAGGGCGTGTATTTCCTATCATGATTTCCTTGATAAAGGGTTGCTGCTCACAAGAAGAGTTCCAGGTGGTGCAGGTCGTATATTTTACGGACGCCATCACAAGTTGGTTGACTGTTATTGAATATCTGTTTCACAGATGACAACGGACATGTTCCAATTGTCGAAACTACAGTCCCGTCCCTTTTTCCCAAATGTGACCTACAGAATTAGCCTTATCAACGGGTTTGTACTAACATGAGCAACATGACAGGTGCCACATGTGGAGCGGGATCTGCTTACCCTTCCGAAACATCTGAGATCACCTCCAGTTTTGGTGGGGTTCGTGTTGTTACATGTACATGTAAGTCTTTAGTTTCATACGTTGTGTTTTGTGTACTGACCAGAAACAGCACACCTCCATTACTTCGTAGAGGTGAGACAAAGACATATCTAATAGTTTTTTCGCCATCTTATATCTGGAAAATCTATATTTGATGTCATGTTATTGCAAATTTATCGAATTATGCATGACGATTTAAAAGACTGCATTCGATAGGTTAAAATGTGAATAGTAAAAACATGATTTTGAAGTTGTTAACTAGGAAAAGTTTTTCTTTTCCATAACTGAAAGTAAGTTTTATTTTCCAGCGATCTTTTATTTTACATGACTGAAAACTCGTGTTTAGAATAATAATATTATCTCAACACATTTCTAAGTAAACACATTAAATGTACACGTCTTGAATACATAAACACTTTTAAATGTGTTTTTTAATTAAAAAGATTTTAGGACTGCTAAACATGACCAAAGGCAGATCCAGGGGGGGGGGGGGGGGGGGCTGGGGGCTCGGGCCCCCCCTTTTGTGGGAAAAATTTGGTTGATTATATAGGGAATCACTGAAGCATGACTGGAGCGGGTCCCCCCTTAGGTCAGTCAGTGGGCCCCCCCTTACAAAAAGTTCTGGATCCGCCACTGATGACCCCAATCTAAACACTGTCTTCAATCAAAACATTTTAAGAAATTAAACATGTTAAACAAGTGTGCAAACAAGGTACAACATATTTAGAATTATGTTTAGAATTTAAACACCATTTATGCAGTTTACGTGTAGTAAGGATATCAGAAATGTATTTTTTGATGTGTTCATATAGAAATTTAATAAATGATATGTCGATACCACCAATTTGAACGAAAATTCAGGTCGGTCTATTAAACACAACTTGATTTTATTGTTCACATATAAAAAGGAATAACAGAACTCCAAGGCAAATTCAAAAAGGGAAAGTCCAAAAAAACTGACAAAAATCAAACACTATCAATCAACGGAACAAGTGAAAACTTCTGCCATGTAACTTTAATCTAATACAAATATGTTTGGAGAACAATTAAGAATTTCAAAGGTGTCTCAAAAGTTCATATTGACGTTAAGCAGTGGGGTTAAACTGCTACCTCATATAACATGAAACGTACAGTTACAATTAAAACATACCACAACTACATTTAAGAAAATGTCACATCGACAATAAAATAAATAGCATTCAATTATTTATTTACAAAAGAAAAATTTAGCAGTACAATTTTTACAAGGACATAAACTTTTGCTATTACTTTGATATTGATCATATCACAAGGCTTAATTTTTGTTTAAATTTAAATGATAGGTCCATCATGTCCATAAAGACATTTAAATATGTGCTTGTGTAACTGGTCAATTTGACTTTTTTTCCCTTTAAAACGACCTTGAAAGGCTGATAATAATAGATTTTACACTTAAATGATTAACGGTAAAACATAACACTTTTCTGTTTGTTGCATAAATTAATTTCGGTCTGAATGTATTTATATATTTAAATACTAAAAAATTTTTTTTTCTCGCAAAAATCATCATTTTCCTCATGGAGTGTCTGCATATTTACATGTTCATATGAGTAAATATCGCGACTCCACATAAGAAACGGTTTTCTCCATAGAAAGGCAAAATTTTAAAAAATCACACCTGCTCTATCCAAAAAATATTTTTTCAGTGTAGTGTATAAATATTGGGACACATTATACATGTTATATCAAAATTATAGAAAAGTATATAAACTGTCACTCAAATTAAGGACAAATTTATGTAGAATAAGCGTATTATATAGTTTGACAGCTTCTGATCTAGACATACTAATTTTTGACCTTTTCTTTGTTGACTTGTATACCACACTTTGGCTTTTTTCAAGTAACCAGATAAATGAGGCTTTGACTTTTTCATGTAATGTCACAGGAAAAGGAAAGCAAAAAAGCTCTCCCATTCACTGTTGACCTAATAATATTATCAGAAGATAATCTAGATCAGGTTTGTCATTTTCTGGCATTGCACGGGGAGTATTTGTGGATATCCACGTGCATTTTTATTTAATAATCTGGCTGCAGCAACATTGCCACCTTTGACACAATTGTAAAAAGTGCTAAATTTAGAAGGGGAATTTGATTGGCGGCGGTTGAATTAATATTGGGAATGAGATTTTTTTAGCACGTGAATATCCTTTGAAGGATTGGTGTTTATTGTTTTCTTGCCATTTCGTAAAATCACGATTAATTAAGGCGGGTTCGTAAACCCCCCTCCCCCGCTTGAAAATCTTAAAATAATTTTTGTGAGCAGATTTCATTCCAATCAATTCATAGACGTATATATGCTGATGCTGCTTTACAAACAGTACCAATCATACTCATTCTTGTATCGATTTAAAATAATTCATCTGAATGTTACTCCATTATAAGGCATACTTCACGTACCTGCTGTCATTAATCATCGATACTTTTACAAATTCCATTTATCCTGATTCAAATATGCCACCAAATCCTCCGAAGTATTATATAAATTATTCATTATTTTATTATGGGGCCATATCAGCTTGGGGCCGGATCGATGTTGGACGGATCAACTTTGGGTCAGAATTACTTGGGGTCCTATCGGTTTGGGGCTGGAACGACCTGATACCCATATTTACAACAGAAGTTTTTTATATATATTGTTGAAATCCGGATATGGTTTACAAATTTTTGCACCTCATGTTTGCGGTATACTATCTTTTCCGCAAGTTTATTGTTTTCTGTTTGGTATTAAATTAATAATTAAGATCCATTTTGTTCCATCTGGTGATCCGTTTATTTGGCAATTACCATGGCAGTAAGCAGGGTTTAAGAACATCCATTGTTCAACCTGCTACAGTGCTACTGCCACTGCTAGTCAAATGCATTTTGTTAAAATATACTTTTTCACTTTTTTTGGTCTTTTGGAAAATGCTGTTTGTGCTGTATTTAGACCCCTCTACCAAGAAATTTGCTTTGAATGCACACGTATAAAAATTGCGGTTTTTATCCAACGCAATCATAGGTTTGAACGTTGTTTTCAATTTATATATAATGTTTGCCCTTCTATTCTTATTTTCCTACTGTCATTGCTTTGAGCGACATTGTCCTCTAGCATCTATATTATAATTGAATTTCTCGTTATATTGATGATGACTATGAAGTATTACAATTACCCTTAAAATGTGCGATTACAAGAAATTATACCAAGAGACATTTCTCAGTTTCTGCAGACAAAAACAAAACTGAAACCGGAAGCTGCACTAACTAAATAAACACGAAACCGAGTTCCGTTTCAACGACAAACGGTTACGGAATTAAAGGTTATTTATGAGGGTATGGATGGGGGTCATTCATTTCTGTATTCTTTAATGTTGTCGCTCATTATTCTTTATATTTAAAAGGGCTAATTTGACATTACTTGATAACTGTATTCTGGACATTTTGTTTTTTTGTAATCAGTATATTTTTACCCAATTCTTTAATTTGTGCAGTTATTCTATATATGATATATATTAGCACCCCATTATTCCCAATTCATTAATTTTTATGCCCATATTTCTCTATTCTTTTTTGTCTGTGCCCTTTATTCTCTATTCCATAAACGCCATCCACACCCTCATATATTATGTTGGTTCCCGGCTCCGTAAAATATTCAGTATGCCTTCGGAATCATACAAATATTAAGAATAACGTATTGTCAAACTTGTCAAATAACGGCCGGGTACCAGTCTAATTATATATGCATTCGACCCAGCAAAAAAAATTGGAGCGATGATTAGTACGACCTCTTATCGTTACAGTCTTCCAGAGACATATATATACATGTTCTACATTTTCCTTTTCCCACTAACCAGTTCTCTTCCCATATCCGTTCTATACTTTCTCCGCTTTTAAATTACTTTTCTTTTTCTCGTCTAGACTGAACCTTCTCCGTTCTCCATTTCTCAGCCATAATTCTACTTTCTACCTCCCATTTTCTCGACCCCCCACCCCTCCTCCCCTCACTAACGACATGGGATTAATCAATGAGGCAACAACCCAAAAACCAAACTTGAAACCATATAAAATTAAACATCTCTACTTTATAACTTGATTGTGTATCACTCAGTAAAATTGAAATTACAATCAAGTTTAAAGACAATCTTTTATACATTTTTTTTTAAACATCCCCAAAAAGCACAACATAGTGAGCTAAGACATGCATTTTACTCTATATCTCTGAAGTAAGTAAGTTTTATGGAAACAAATGTTCCAACTTCAATTCTAGCATGCATGAACATATAATCATATAAGCAACAAAATAGGAACAGCAGACTCACATGAAAATAATGGTCAGAAGATTTCAATTAATTCAATTCAAAGGGGACACCAAAGAACTCAATATAAAAAAATGATTATAGAGTGGTTTGGACTCGATCGGGATTCACTGAACTGCTAATCCAAAGCAATATAAACTTTAACCTATACCGAGCTGTTATGTCTATATTTTTTTTTATATAAACGAACGGAGATGACAACAGCCCAAGTATTTCCTTTATTTGAATTTGCTTTCAGTAAGTAGTTGATTTAGCTAGGTGTGGTCATGTGGAAACCTATCACGTTTATGGAAGTGAAAAGGCATATATAAGCATTTTTTCTTTATAGTTTATAATTTTTATCTTACACCTTGACCAATATTTAAATTACCAAAATTCTAATTTGCCGTAGCCTTCTGAAACGAAATAAATAGCAAAAAGCGACTGAAAACTGAGACTACGATATATGAAAATTTGTTTATAACTTTTACCTTTCACCTTTACCTAGATTTTTAAAAAGGAGAAGCCGTTTCTGTCTCAATAAAATTATGATTTGCCGTCATGTACAAGAATTACGGACATTTCAAGGCGAGATAACTCGTGTTACTTTTCTATTCTGGTTCCCATCTTGCTCTCATCGTCTGGTGACCAGTAGATAAAAATAGATAACTCCCATAAACGAACACCCCGTCAATAGATGTCACTTTGACGTTATGCCTATAGGGTAATTTATGATATTAGCAGTTATACGATAATTCCGAACGCAGTTGGATTTAAGAAAGAAACCCCGCGTACACTATACACAGATGAATGATGAAGAAATTTCCGATAGAAAAGAAATAATTAAAAAAAAGAAAAGTTTTGCATGCCCTATGATGTACAAAGAATATTTTCTGTTATCGATGGTTCTAAAGAGATACGTTTACATGTTATTATATTTCCTATATTTATAATATATGTATATCTCTTGATCAATACTTTTTTTAAAAAAAATTTTCTTAATCTAGTAAATTTTCTTATTGTATGAAATTTGTAACCCTGTTTATACTACACACGACCTTTTCCGAAGCTTTCAGATAGTCCAAATAATTTATCATCGGTGTTTCTGATTTTAACAAGTTCAATAAAAGAAACATTTTAAAGCCGCAGGCAAACTGATCTATCCTTGTATATTTCTTTTTAATTGAGTTAGATAAAAATCCAATATACAAATCCTTTCAACATCGAGCAGGCTTGAGTATTATCTAAGATTATGTTTTATATAAAAAAAAAATAGCATTTAACTCTTCAACGTGGTTCTGGAAAAGGATAGACAATTTATGAATATGACGAAGACATAATCTTTCAATCAGTTTAATTGAAGTGTGGAGCTGGCATGTCAGTTATTGCTAGTAGTCCATTAGTTAATTTATCATGTATCATTGTCATTTTGCTTAGTGTCTTTTGTTATCTATTCTGACATCGGACTCGGACTTCTTTTAAACTGAGTTTTACTGTGCGTATTGCTGTGTTTTGTTTATTCTACATAGGCTAGAGGTATAGAGGGAGGGTTGAAATCTCATTAAACATATAAATAAAAGCTACAGAAAGGCAATATCATAAATATGACAAGATGTACATTACTGTCAATTTTAGATTTTATTTGATATGGGTAGGTCACATGTATTCGATATTGACATTGTATAAGCCTGATGTATACTCCATGCTGAATTTTATTTGATCTAGGTAACACGTAAAATCATTAACACCTGTGGATTAAATTGTAATATTTTCCTGTCCTCTAGGAACATAAAATTTACATAATTCACTACCCTTAATTAGACATAGATATCAGTAAATAAAACCGCAGACTTTCTCCTTAAAGTTTAGTGGTTTGTGTACATATATTGAAGGTGTGCATGTGGTCAGGATTTAATATTTGCTCTTTTGGGAGATAGTTAAAGTTATTTTAAAATAACACTTTGCATCTGCGGGGGCATCATTTGTGTCTCCCAGACACAATTAAATCTCAGATAAAGTTCTACATTATCTTTGTTATGATACAGTTACTTCAGAGTGCGGGGCATCACTTTGTCTAGTTAATTTTATAATTATTTTTTTGTTGTAATTAATCTTATTTGAAAATATTCGTTCATATTTCAGCCGTATCTCGATTTTTTTTTTTTGACTTTATAAAATTAGTTTATATGTGTTAACCTATATTCTTATTGTAGAATACTCTTAAACATAAGAATAGAGGGCAACATACATACATTATTATTGTTAAATCGCATTGATAAGAGTTTGAACACTTTAGACAAGGTAAAAAAGTTGATGTGAAAAGACTATTTTGAAATTATTAATCAACTGCAAAAAAATAAAAAAGGGGGTCTCCCAACAAGCTCTTGTGCGTGGACTACTATATTTTCAATGTAATACTTAAATGATAAGATAAAATAGTAACATATGGTATTGAATAGTGATACAGCACCGGAAAGGATTTGCCGTGGCACCATGGGACGCTCATACAATATACTATGTAAATATTGACACATTCGTGTTTATATGTTAGCTGAGATCGATAATTATGGAGCTTTTCTTAAAAAGGACTTCGATGTTTTTCGTCATTTGTATTATTAAACGACATTTTATGAATATACTAACAAGGATTTGTATAGTACTATACAAATCCTTGTACTGAACAATAAGATTAATGACGGTATGAAGGAGAACATAAAGATAGCATATCCTAACAATGATTTTGATGCTATGATATCTTACTGTATACATTCAAAATACTTGCATTTACTTCTTTGATCATTTCTTATAATGATAAGAATAATATTCCCTATACCTTTTCATTATACAAAACTTGTATAAAATTTTGTATGTTTTGAATAACATTAAAAATTGCACGTTGTCATCTTTTCTATTTCAATTTAGTTTTTCAGATTTCGTAGACATTTTTTTTCAATAATACCATCATGCAATTGTGTATTCAAATATTTGATAATAATAATATAATTACTCAAATCAAAATAAGATTAATTAGACAGAGCCTTTAAAAAAAAGAAAAAAGAAACACTTTTTGCATATTTTTCTTCAAGATGTCAACAAAACCACACTACTTTTAAAATTTTGATGTTTAAAGAACTCTTGGTATAATAGAAATTAATATATTGTTTAAAACCTAACTAGATATTTAAAATGATGGATGTAATTAAAAAGAAGTTCGCATCATAAAAATGAGAATTCAACTAAATAACAAAACCAATTTGTCTTTGAATACGGTCAATCTTAGTTGAATGAATATACATCGTATTCATAAATAATGAAGTTTCACTTTCAAATGCTTAGGGACAACAGTAAACATTATTTTAAAATGAGAATTCTTATACCATTTGATAGGAAAATTATTTGCCCATACTGTATAATTTGTTAATTTGATTTACAATAAAAAATGAATTTAATATGATTTTTTATAAAATATGTATACCTCGTAATTTAACATATCTCAACCAAAAGAGAACCCGACGTTCAACAAGATAGGGACAACAGTAAATATCAAGATAAAGTGGATTTTATTACACCATTTCAAAGCTAAAAAATTGGTGAGATCTCTATAATTTATTAATTTTATATGAGATTTATAAAATAGACATAGTATTCGTTTATTTAGCTAGTGGTCATAATTCCCCATAGACAATAACGTTAAAAAAATTTCAATGATTACGGTTCTCTGTGTGGTAGCTGATAAAGCCATCCAGCTGAGCTGTCCGCAATTCTTGTGTATGAGCCTTTTGCAAAAAGGAAATAAATAAATTGAAATTGAAATACCAAAGATCGAGCGACTGAAATCTATAAAATTAAGATTAATTATGTTTATTTCTAAAACACACCACTATCAAATGACTATCTTACTTGTAAGTGCGTACACGGAATTTGAAAATTCCCGCTATTTACCAGTTTATTAATAAGCGGTCATAT